CTACATCTTGTAAGTAATCTTGTGAGTCTACATATTGTGGGTCATCTTGTGAGTCTACATCTTGTAAGTAATCTTGTGAGTCTACATCTTGTGGGTCATCATGTGAGTCATCTTGTGGGTCATCTTGTGGGTCATCTTGTGGGTCATCTTGTGAGTCTACATCTTGTGAGTCATCTTGTGAGTCATCTTGTGGGTCATCTTGTGGGTCATCTTGTGGGTAATCTTGTGGGTCATCTTGTGGGTAATCTTGTGAATCATCTTGTGAGTTATTATAGAATAATGATTCCGGAGATGGTCCGGTAATTTCAACGTTTTGTAGGTAATCTTGTGAGTCGTCTTGTGAGTTAGGATAGAATAATGATTCCGGAGATGGTCCGGTAATTGCAACGTTTTGTAGGTAATCTTGTGAGTCGTATTGTGAGTTAGTATAGAATGCATTTGTAGTGCTTGAATATAATGTTTCCGGAGATGGTCCAGAAGTTTCAACATTTTGTGGCGGCAAAGTCCAAAAATTTATACAGTTAGCTTCCACTAAACTATTGTTTTTGAGTTCTTGTCTTTTCTTATGAGGTTGATATTGATAAGTTGGAAACATTTCCTTGTGTTTCTTGAGGGCCTTGTCTTCTAATTGTCTAAAAAATATTCTCACCAAAGGTGGTTGTTCATTCCACTTTTGAGCAGCTAAAAATGAAATTTTGTCGGCAGTAATTTTTTCATCTTGGTGGATGGACCTGTATTTAGCTTCAAAGTCCTTGCGAAACAAAAGGAAACTGTTTTGAGGCCTGGGTGGTTCGTTGGTTTTTTTCGAGCGGCGAGAATTTGTTGATGGGTAAATTAATTCGTCAACCTCTATTGTCAACTCGTAAGGTGCAGAAGCAGTGTGCAGCTGCTCGTTGTTGATAATTTGAAATGAGATATCTTCGGCACGAAACGTTCGAGAGCCAGGCCCATGTGTGGTTGGGGTGATATTCGACACGAACCGAATACCACGGCTCTTAGACTTGTTTGCCTTTTTCATAATGATCGTTTTTAATTTTGACTTAGGAGAGAACCAGAACGTCGTCTTTAAATATGAAATTTCTATCATTCCATATACGTACATATATCATTCATTAAATTAAGCAATTCTAGTGGTTTTTCCGGACTGCGTATTGTACAACAAGGAAAAAAAACCACAAAACAATGAAGAAACAATGAAGGTTGATTTAGTGATGAACAAACTTCTGCAAGCATCGAAACCACGTATTAAAGTATTGCAGTATTTTAAATGTGTATATATACATCAGAATGATTATTTATTTAATTTAGAATTACAATCATTTCAGCTTATTATTGCAAACCTTTATTGGTATATGTATATGTGGTTTCTCCTTTTGCAGAATATCCAAATAATCGCTTCTAAAGTTACGTAGTCTGTTCTAATCTCTACGGAAAAAATAGAACTTGGGTTTAGAAATAAGCGTAATTTTTTGGAAGAAACATGTACAATCATCATACAATCGAATTGGTAATGACTTATAAACCGGAAAAACTGATTTTTGAGATTCATTGAAGTTGTCAACCAAAAAAGGACACAAATGTGAGTTACACTTACACGACCTTACCATCATTTCGCACATCAATGGATTTTCTGCTAAGAATGGTTGGCGAAGCTGCATAATTATATATAGATATTGGATGCGTAATAATCAATCATTATTAAAGTTTTGAGCGAATAATACTAAAATTTGCCGATAATCTGCAAGGTGAATCTGGACAAGAAATACTTCTGCAAGTGATACAAAATTAAACAAAAAATAAATAGATATTGGATGCGTAATAATCAATCATTATTAAAGTTTTGAGCGAATAATACTAAAATTTGCCGATAATCTGCAAGGTGCATCTGGACAAGATTACTTACAAGATGTAGACTCACAAGATGACCCACAATATGTAGACTCACAAGATTACTTACAAGATGTAG